TTTTTTTTTTTTTTTTTTTTTTTTTTTTTTTTTTTTTTTTTTTTTTTTTTTTTTTTTTTTATACAATGTTTAGTTACATGACGGTGTCGTAGGTTTTTGTGACTATACCCAAATGCCTCCCTTCTTCTCTCTCTCTCTCTCACGAACACTGTCAACAACCCTCATTCGCTAAAGGTTGAACACATTGTATACATGGGTCATTTCACAAAAACTGCAATATTTTCATGATCTAGTTGAGATTTTTTTAAATGTAATGTTTGGAGTTGTTTCATTATTTGTTCCATGTTACGGGAGGTCTAAGCTAGTTGGAAAATTTTGGGCCCAACTCTACGGTCATTATTTAAAAACCTATGTTAATTTAAATGCAATTTTTAAAAAGTTTTAAAAGAGCTTTTTGGTAATGACACTTTGGCCTGTTTCTTAAATCTTACGTCCACGCAAAAAAATTTTCAGCTCCATCTCGAAAACGTATGTGGTTTAAATTGTTTAAAAAAAGTTCCGACTCGAAATAATTCAATCCACCGTTTTCAAATATTGGCTTCATGGAATACCACAGTTTTTGTGAAATAACCCGTTTATCGATACGCAGGGGGTACGTTTGATGTGTATGTACGTAAGTTGCCGTCTGGCCCCTTCCCGCCGTGCGGGTATCCATCCATCTCACCGTGTCAAGAGCAGACCGTCGGACCTCACTTAAAATAGAGGCAGAGCATGTCTACGTGTACATGCACGCCCCATTGCCGAATGGCTTTGCACAATTTCGCATCGTTACGGGACTTTTAACGATTGAAAATAACATGTTGATTGTTTACTAACATGTACATTTTTATTGATTTGGAGGTAGCAATAGTAAGACCGTGGGTACTCGTATTAAGTCATCTATTTACAGGAATTGCACGATGCCCAGAAAAAACATGATAGTTTCTTTATTATTTTTAATCAGACTTTATCTTACTTTAACTCTTGTAAGGCTTAAAAACTCGTTTTTATTACTTATTTCATACGAGCTTGCGTCACTCTGAGTGTTGCAACTGTGACCCTGAGCAGAAAATCCTGTACAACCCTCATTATGATGACTTTAACTTTTCTCCATTTAAATTTTGTTTACACTTGGAAAATTTATATGATACATTTACCAGCCCCACGATGCACGTAGGATTGATAATTGGATAACACAGTTGTGCGACAGTTAATCCAAAGAATACTTGGTTGCGATCATCCTCCTTGTAATTGGCCTCAAACCCAAAAATTGCATTAGCAGTCTGGTGGTGCGCACAAACGTGAATGGAATACGTTTCTGTACAAGTGGATGGGGGTTGATCAGCAAACCGAGCCAGCGGCCCTTGAAATTCCGAGGCTTTGACTATTGCTTCACCACACGCGTCGATTGTCGCATTATGGAAACGAGGCAGGCGGATAGTCGATTACTTGATCTCCATCAGTTTAGCCCGAAGGTCTTTATCTGATTCGGCTATACATGCGCGACTCTTCGCCGACTGACTGGCTGGCTAAGTCCCCGGAGGCGCTTTGGCTTCCCTGTTGTGCATCCATTGTGTATGTAAATTGAACAATCCGCGATGATCATTTGATTCGGTCATCGTTGGGGCAAAGCAAAGCTCGTTTGTTATCGAGTTGCAATTGAAATGTCTATATGCTCCTTTCATCGGTATGTCTGCCTTTATCTCTGTATCTCAGTATTAGGTTTATACGTTTTTATGTGGATTTTGTTGCCACACAGCCAGTACGACATTACCATTGACAAACCTGGAAAATCTATTTTGTTTGTTTTATGGACTATTTTACTTTCTCCTCATCTCTTATCCTTTACTTTTTTTACTTTTGAATCTTTTGTTTTACTTAATAGATGTTTTTTGTAATCGGCATTTTGCTAATTCTTACGATTATTAATCACACGTTTATGATCCATAGAGCTTGTCAAGCACAAATAACCCCAAAGCACGGAGAGTTAAAAATATATAACAAAATGTCGATAATGTAATGATTTTCAAGCTCTCGGGTAATCCAATTAATTCTAATAGGTACTTAATTCAATTCTCAGAACAGTACTGTTCGTTACCATCTGGGAATATGCAAGTTTGGTGTACGTAGGACGTGTCGTTGTACTTGGATTTCTGAGGAGAACAAACGGGACCAAGGAGGAGGAGAAGGAGCAGTAGATGCTTCGAGGGAATTTTACTTTGCCACTAACTCGTCGAGTGCAAGCGCATTATGTATACTTACACGAGTACTGTACAGTAAACTGTGAGAAGTGTTGTAGTGTTTCTAACATTGTTGCTGCACAGGAGGAAGGGAATGAGATTTTCACTTTAATTTCGAAGGCAGTAATTTGTGGGTCGCACCTTACCGAGTCGTCAATTAAATAGATTTCCATTTATGTCATAGAAATATAAAATGTCCAAAAGTGGACTTGACTTACTTCATCGTCAATTTATAAATATTTAATGCCACGAGGTTAAAGAATTTTCAATTCAAAAAATCAGAAATTTGAATTCGTAAGTAAAACAGGTAACCAAGATAATCAACTGTGAGCCAAAATTATTCGGTTTCTGAAAAATAATACGAATAAGTTTGTAGGGGTTGGTGCGCCGAAATACATAGCAGGACATGGAGTATCCTTCCCCTGAAATTTTAGTTACAAACAATGAAACTTTCGCCACGGCTTAGGTACCATCAACCGTTACCCCACACCACTGCAAGAAGTGTAAATATACTCTAAAAAAAAAAAATCTTCATAAATTATACACATTTCTCGCTGTTTCCAAAGACAACCCTTACGAAAATGCGCTACCGTTGGAAAAAAAAAACCCACCTCATCGGCCAAAATCTCGATTAAATCATCCCCGCGCGAAAGAACCTCCCCCTCTTACCAACCCTCTGAAACGATTTGTGCGTATCGCAATTACGCATCGCGAACCCTCGGTGCTCCGGCCACCCCCTCACAAGGCAACCCGTCTATACACACATAACGCGCATTCTCTGTATCAAACAGCAGTGCACATGCAACATAGAGAGGAAGAGACGGCGGATGTGCCATTACTCTCGCGGCCGGGCCCTCGTAATATAACGATCAGCTGCAGGACTCCGCATAGCTGCGTTTCATAGGTCTCTGCTGCTCTGCCAGATGCTGCTACGTGTCCACGACACACATCCAAGCGTTGCTGCTTTTTGGTTCTATATATTTGTGTACCCATACGGGCACCCATGAAGGTACAAACGCAGAGACTCGAGGGCAGTTTAGGCCGCAACACTTTGCCCGTGTATGGTGTTATAACTCTAGGAAATCCTGTATTGCATTNTCAATCGAAATTACCTGCATGAGCAAAACCGAAGAACTTGTGTTTTATTATCAAGAGCCTAGAAGTCATGTTAGTTGCGGCACTTGACAACTTTATACGAATAACAGTTGAAAAATGAATCGTTGGAATTCACAAGTTGTATTCATTTTTGTTTAAAAGGTGACTACGTCAAAGCACATGATTTATGAAAATGAGCTGGACCGAAATGTGACATTTCAAAGGCCATCGAGCGTCTTTGGGGACACTGGCACTTACGGCTGCGCCGAAAAAAGAAAGAACGTAAAAAAAAAGGACTTCAAAAAACATCCAAGCGTCAGCAAGATACACGTTTACGTCAATAGTAAGAAAATTCCACTTTTTTTTTTTTTATTTCAGTAAAATTATACTTCGATAACACACACGCGTTTTACTAATCTGTTATTAATTAATAAATAAATGATTTTTTTGTTTGCAGCTGGTAAAGAAATGTGGGCTCTACCAACTATGAGGATATACATGGGCCCTAGCGACAATAGAACAGTATTTTGCAGTGCCCACGGTCACCCAAAGGCCAATGCACCCTGGTTCTACACAAAATGCCCGGAAGATCCGCACAAATATGAATGCAAGATATTTGAACTTGAGGTAGATTTTTATTGAACGATTAAAACAAAAGTATTTATGGTAACAGCACTAAGCACAATTTTAATAACTGATTCATCGATTTAGGGTACACCAATGGAAGAGGAAAGCTTAACATTGATTTACTCAGCATTGTCAACAAAAAATACGACCACGGGTCTAATGAGTTGCGACGATTGCAATATTTATGACTGCAACTCGACTGAAAAGAACGTGCTCATCACGGGTATTAATATCGTCAATATAATTATAGCTTGAGTTTTTTGTCTAATCCGATAACACCTCAGTTTACTTCCTTTTCCGATTTGTAAAGATGGAGGACCACATGACGCTCCTTTTGGAGTGATAAAACCAGAGGACGATTTGTTTGAAGGTGACAACGTTACCTTAAGATGTGCCCTTGTGAATTTTTTCACCAACGATTCTACAAATTGGGTTATCACTGGGAGTGAGTGGGACAACAATTATGGTTTGTTAATCAAAAAATTACGCATTTAAAAATTTCATCGCTTAAAATCTGTCTTCCAACGTTTGATCACTATTTCATTGAATTGCAGCCAGGACATCTGTATATCAAGTAAAAACTGAGTTCACTCATCAAACTGTCCTTGAGATCCGGAACTTGACAAAGACGGACGAGCAAGTATACGAATGCCAAAAAATTTCGATTCGTAATTCATCCCAGCAACTTTTCAACCTCATTTTACAAAGTAACGACAAAAGTTATTACTATTTACGTTTATTTAATATTGAATGTTGCTATACTAAATATCCCATAATCCACAGAACCGGAGAAGTCGAGAATTACTTACACAAATCTGAACGACACGGAGGTTACTATACTCGTGGAGGATGCTAAAGATATTAAATTATATTGTTACGCCAGAGGCATGCCAGTACCTAAAGTAACTTGGTTTAGGAACGATACACTCTTGAAGTCTTCGGAACAATTCATTTTAGACGACAGCAATCGAATATTGTGGATAAAATACTTTTTGAAAAACGATGTCGGGAATTATTCGTGCCTGGCTCAAAATCGCTTTGGGAATGATAGTCATTACCAAGTATTCGCCGTAAAGGGTAATTTTTTACAATATTTTTTAATACACTTTTTTGTCAAGCTTCAAGCACATCGTTGTTGAAACAGTCTATTCTTATTTTAGATCCTGTATTGACTCCCGTTGAAGTTGGAATGATTACTTGGTTGTTTACCATACTCGTGATTATCGCAATTTACTTCTTCATAAAAGTACGGTACAATAAGGTAAGGAAGCATATTGTTTGTGCAAAAGGGTGATTGTTTTTAGTTAGAAATTGTAATGGAAACGCTTAAAATTTACAAATTTTTAGATGAAGAGGAAGAGGATGTTGGAAGCCGGCCGAGAGGACTTCGAGGAAGGAGCACTCGACCGTATAAATCCAGAGCTAACGTTAGACGAGCAGGCAGAGCTTCTTCCGTACGACAGGAGGTGGGAATTTCCCAGGGAAAGATTGAAGTTAGGTATGAAATCACCAAAATCCCGAAAAATCTCTTAAAATATGTTAATAAATGATATTATAATACGTTTGTCCTCGAATATTTCCTTCGATTTATCTCGATCGGTCGTTTCAACTGGCTTATTTATTGGGAATGTTTAAATACATACAGCTCGTACGTCTAGTTGAAAGAAACATTAGAATATTATAAGTTATAAATTTAAAGTTACCATGAACAATATTAAGATCTGATTTGTTTGTATTTTCTATGTATTGTGCTATGAAAAAACAAAAAAAAAAATAAATGATTATAAATAAATGCCAAGTTTTATAAAAAAGGATCTACAAAATCTATCAAATCAACCGAGTTGATAACTGCTGTTCTTAAAATGAGTTTAAAAAATTGATGATACTTCGGACTAATATTTTTCTAATAAAAAAAGAAAATAATAATAACAATGAAAACCTACACAACAGTCCACAGTAAAGTAAACGTAACGATTGTATGTTTTTACGATGTGCATGAAGGAAAGCAATTGGGAAGTGGAGCCTTTGGGGTTGTGATAAAGGCAGAAGCGCTTGGAATCAGTAACAATGAAACCGTTACTACTGTCGCCGTTAAAATGCCCCGCAAAACTTCAAAAGTAACTTACATCCATGCCTTGAAAAGGGAACTGAAAATAATGGGACATTTGGGAAAGCACTTGAATGTGGTTAATCTTCTCGGTGCTTGCACGAAAAATATCGCTGAACGTAAGGATTATCCCTTAAAATTAAAATGACTGCAAAAATTCTCTTTTCTTTTCTTTTTTTTTGTCAACTATTCGATATTGTTTCTTGTTTCAGATGAACTGTTAGTAATTGTCGAATACTGTCGATTTGGAAATTTGCAGAGCTATTTGCTACGTCACCGGCAAAACTTTTTAAACCAAGTAGATCTGTTCACTGGTGAAATCAACCCACGAATCGGCAAGATACCCAAAAAGTAATTTGAGTCATTTATACGATTTGTAATCATTGCGTGGTCTAACATGAGTCAATAACGCATTGATGATCAAACAAGGGATATTTGAAAAAGTGCATTGATAAATCAAATTTTACCAGTGATGTATGTATACGTATTGTATGATTATACAAATGAAGACGTTAAATACTTTCAAAAAATGACATCACAACAGCGGAATACGTGACAAGAGTTGAATAAATAAAGAATTAGTTATTAAAAAGAAAGAAAATGAATGTAATGTATTTTTTTTTTTTCCTCGACGACAGGCTAAACTATGCCCCACTGGAATTCCCAAACTCGGTCCCAAGCTACGACTCCACCATCGACTCCGCCAACACTCGAGACTCCAGCTCGTCAGTCGAGTCCTATCGCACCCTCGGCTCCGACAACTCTCAGCCAGGTTGGCGCTCCAACTACGAGGGCGACTACCAGGCGTTTAGTTTCACAACAATATCCACTCAGGACCTCATCATTTGGGCGTTCCAAGTAGCTCGAGGCATGAACTACCTCTCCCGGAGAAACGTACGTAAACATATTTCGCGTCTGGTTGTAACCACGTGCTTTTACTTTTGCTGATGTGGGCATGCAGGTGCTGCACGCCGACCTGGCCGCAAGGAATATATTACTGGCGGAGAACAACGTCATAAAAATCTGTGACTTTGGTTTGGCCAAGTCGGTGTACAAGGATGGCATCTACAAGATGAAGACGAGGACGGATGTGCCCTTCAAGTGGATGGCCGTCGAGTCCATCAGGGATGAAGTTTTCTCGACAAAGTCGGACGTGTGGTCGTTCGGCGTGGTCCTGTGGGAGTTCTTTTCCCTGGCGGAGACGCCATACTCGGGCATGGGCTTCGAAAAACTTTACCCAAAAATCTTGCAGGGCTACAGGATGAAGAAGCCTATTTACGCTACCAAGTCCATGTGAGTAATGGCATCGTTGTCAAAGCCATTGCTCTTCCGTACAATGTGGGAATTTTGTTTTAGTTACGACATGATGCTTCGCTGTTGGGAGGAGGAGCCAACCAGGAGACCGACGTTCCAAGAATTGGTCGACCGAATCGGCGAGTTCGTCGATAATGGCATAAAAGTGCACTACACGGAATTGGATGTTGTCTACGAAGCCATGAACAGAGACGTTTTAGACGGGCAGTACGATTACTTGGCCATGATGTCGTCACCCGACTACGTGGCGACACCTCATCCACCACCTCAGCAGGACACCACGGACGACTCGTGTCATGATAACGCGGCTTACGTGACCGACACCGATGACAGCTCTTTGTCCACGGTTGACCAAAGGGCCGAAAAAAATTAATTCCATCCAAAAGACGGGTATTTTGTGAAATGTGACATAGTGATTTATGTCCAACCACTCGTACCAATTTGTTGCTGATTTGTATGATGTAGTTTTTACCCCCTGTGTGGAACGTTACGTGTTAAGGAGAAGCTCGAATGGTTGAGCTGGTCGGTAATACTATAACTATGAAAATTATGTTACGGTACCACAAACAGATTCAGTTTATTGTTAAAAGGCCTTTGTGTATGATTTTGTGTCCTTGCATATGATTGGCAAATAGTTAAAAATTTATGCATTATCGTAGAAAAAATCTGAGTTGTTCTTAGAAACAAGTAATTATTTATGCTTCCTTATACCTAAACGTACCTTTTGATCACCGAGCCATTAATCTTGCGTCACGCGAATTACAAAAAACCAGTTGGACTATTAATCCCAAAAAACCCAACTCTCTAACTTAAGTATAAGTTCATCAGTACATACCTATTCAAATTTCAATGTATTTAAAACCTCCAATTTTTCTAGGTTTTTTGTTTTTCAATAAACAAATTGTATATCACAGGACGTACATGTAGGATACATACTCTAAATATATCCTATACTTAAAACCAGTGAATTTACATACTTTAAGATGGAGTTCACGTTAGATATCAAAAATACGCTTGTTCGTTATCAAGAGTACCTTGATGTGATATGTTATTGACGAAAAAATTGAACTAGGTAAACAAAAATTGTATCGTTGATTCGAAAAATATTTTGAGATATACCTTTCCTTTAAGTTTCGGAAATGAACTTCGATGCATTATGATGAATTTGTTTTTTACGAGGTATACGTACGTAACTTGGTGTGACCTCAGTGTTGATGAATATTCATTTATTATTATTCCAAAGACTCAAACTGCGATTAATTAATCCATTAATTATCTCTAATTTATCCTTCCTATCACAGTGTGCATGTTTTCAATGAAAAAGGTTTGATGTATTGTTATTGACTGGTTAAGATTTTTTTTTTTTTATTTCAAGTTCTTAGTCGTAAATAAATTAGCAACTAGAATTTTTACACCTAATATGGTACTGCAAATTCCTCTAGATTATTGGTTTATTTTTAGTTTTTTATTAATAACCAAGTGAAGTTTTATAAACATAGGATTGGCTGGCATTTTGTTTTCCATAAAGAGAACGAAGGAAACGTCGGAAAAGCGAGTTTTTCGAACTTTTACATTGTATTTAAACAAATCTCAGAGAATTTTCCGAATACAATGCGTCATTATCTACTAAGTACTAACAATGAGTTACCAATACAGATCGGAATCCAAGCGTGATTTAAAAAATACGCTGCAATGACTGCAGAAGGGGATATTTAATCAATTAAATTTAAGTCAATCCCGCCGGGACTCCCGAACGAGTAATAGTCTCCATCTATGGACATTTTTTGGAACTCAAAGCTCGTAGATAATAAGGAATTTACATTCAATCTTCTAACGGTAGTGAAGATTTTCACCACAAAAAATAGTTATCAATATTCGGTATAAGGTCGTTTGGTGCATACCGACTGCAGCTAATTGTTGTGATCTATCTTACCAACGTTCAACAATAAAAAATTTGCCGTAATTCCCGTGTAAAATTTATGTACTTATAGTTATAATTTTCATTATTAAAAAATACAACATCAATCGTAATTTCACATATAACCATTTATAACCATCCCGGCGAAAGTGTCGGTTCCGTAGCACTAGCGCCACTATTCCTGCGTTAATTTCCATAAAGTGGCGAGTTTCAGACACGACGAGAGAAGGCTCGTGACGTGACTGTCAACGCCACCAGCTTTTCTATCCTTGCACATTGTGGCGTGATTCCGAAGTTTCGAGAGAAGGCTCTCAAGGGCTGACCCCAACATATAATATATCGTGAGTACAAAAAAAGGTTTAATTGTTTATACAGTGTAAACTTTACACGTTGATTACACCCGCTGTAGTACATACAGGTGTATTAAAGATATATCTCACTATTGTGAACGCATGTCTCTGAGGCTATATAGTTCACTTTAATATAAGATATATGTGTATAAATATGTATATATATGTACTTAGGTGTATAAGTTTCTCAGCATCATTTCACCTTTCGCCCACAACATTTTTCAGTAATGCAAACAAGCGACCACATGAACTCTCAATTTGTACAACAATTGCATGTGTGTGGACACCTTACAAACGAAACAGCTAATGTAAAAATCTAATGTTTTTACACTCTGCCATCTTCGTTGACGTTGTTTATCGCTTCAAGTTTTAATGAGAGAAAAAATAAGCCAAGGAGGCAAGGAAAGGAGTCGCTTTCATATAGGCTCATGCAGACGCCGATGCATAAAAAAGCTATACTTACTCAAGTGCAAAGCATCAAGTTAAACCAGAGGCAGAGGAAGAATCAACGTTGTTTATTGTGTACAGAGTGTGTATAAATAATTATATGGGTAGGCGTGACCATTAAATATCGCATAAAAAAAGTTATTATCTGACTAGTGCATGGAAGTGACAGAAGTGATAAAAAAAAAAAAAGCCGCGAAAGGCGCGAAGAGAGGTAGGGGGACTAGGGGGCCACGAGTCGCGGAGACGACGAAGAGCTCCGAGCGCGTCCGAGTAATGGAGGAAAGCCAGCACTCGGACGGCTCGGAGACGCTCGCCGAGAAGCCGGACATGTCCGAGCAGCTGGCGAACGAAACCGACGAGGCAGCAACACGTGGTGCTGTCGCTGCGGTGGCTACGGCTCCGGAGACTTCGTCGAGCGTGTCGTCCTCCGTCTCGGCGACAGTGGCATCCGCCAAGGTGAAGTTGTGCTCGACGGCCCAACCACAACAGCGTCAACAGGAGGCAGAGGTGCCAGTGACGCTGGCTGTTCCGGTGGCCGTAGCCACCAACATCAACAACCCTACGTTGCAGACCAACTCGCTACCGGTCACTCTGCCGGTTAACTCGATCATCACCAATGGGACGACGCTCAACGTCATCACCTCGGAACAGCTACAGCAGGTGGGCTTTTTTGACGCTTCATTAGGTTTCGTTCACTGCCGTCAAACTCTTCAAACGGCTTTTACTAGTTTTCATGCAATGTTTCATTCACTGATGAATACAATTCTTGGCAATTTAACAGTTACAATCAGCAGGTGGTCAGTTCAAGCAAATGATATGCGTTGACAATGGCTTTATCTGTGAATCTCGGTCGGAGGACAAAAATGATCCACTGCGCTGGAACAGTGATATCAAGACCATTGTTATCCAAAAAAGTGATGACACAGACATCACACCGGTGCGAATCACGTCGTCTCCGGCACCGAATCAGGCAAATTACAATTGGACAGAGTCAGCCAACATGGCAGTTCTGCCAATTAGGTGTAAAAATACTAATGCAGAGTTGCACAAAAGTCGGTTCGGATCTGGGGGACGTGGACGTTGCATTAAACTGAATAATCAATGGTACACTCCTAGTGAGTTTGAAGCACTGTGTGGCAGAGCTTCGAGCAAAGACTGGAAGAGAAGTCTCCGTTTCGGAGGACGCAGTCTACAAACTTTGATCGACGAACAGATTCTCAGACCACACGCCACTTCTTGTACTTGTGCTGCTTGTTGCGACGATGACAATGCTGTAAGTATATGAGCCACAAAAAATTCTTGTTCATCAAACCTTTCCCAACATTTGTCCATAGCAATAATTTTATATTTATAGGCTGGACCAATTCGACTGTTTACTCCATACAAGAGAAAAAGACGATCTAGGGAGACTCTGGACCGAGATCAAAGACGAGCTCGCAGAGATGACTCTACAAATGACAGCGACAATGACGACAGCAGTAACGACGTCTTGGCTGACAAGACTTGGCCACAATTTGTTAGCTCAGATGAAATTGTCATACAACATAATCAGGACAGTGGACCAATAATAACGTCTGTGCAAACTAACACGGAGAAAGTGCGTAAAAACAAAATTAAAAAATTGGAGGAGGATCTCAAGGAGATGAGTAAGATCCTCACTAGGTGTGTAAATACACTTGAGGAGCTCAAGGCTGAAGATATAAGGGAGTCCAGAAGAGATCTGATATCTCAACTTGGCAGGGGTGAGGTCATCGCAGCTTCTTTGCAACCTACCACGGATCCTCACGGTAGAAGAGTAAGTTTCTTCTAATTTGGCTCGTTTTCATAAACGCAAAGCTAGTTGATTAACCAACATGAAAATTTTTTACTTTGCAGTGCAACAAATGTGGCAGGGAGGCATATGCAGAATGTTCCAATTGTCGACGCACACCATATTGTTCAACAGACTGTCAACGCGAAGATTGGACGGATCACCAGAATATTTGTGAAAACCTGGCGTGCGAGAATGCTACCAACGAACAGCAAAATCAGACTCAACCTGGACCTGCATTGATGCTTATTGTCGAAAGCAGTGGCATTGATACGTCCACTCTTGCAACCATGCAAAATGCTAGACCAGATTAATAGCAAGTTTTTTTTTCAAAGGTGTTTGTGAATTAACGGAGTCGTGAAATTTTTTGAGTATTAGAAATGAGTTAAAATGAATAAGATATAAGTTAGCCAAATTGTAGCTTTCGTGAAATTTTTTGAGATTGCCCAAGACTAAGAAAGATTTTAGCCTATACTTTTTTGAGTCATATTTCTTTTTTTTTTTATCATACTATTTAAAACTATTTTAATATATTGTTTCCTAAATGAATTGAAATTAACAGTATCAAATTTATTTTTTGAAATGCAGCTCAGCTAATTTCAAAGTTTTTATAAATTGTTACAACTATCTTTCTAAATGATAATCATTATTAATGCCTCATTTTCTTTGAAACGTGCAAGCAACGTACCTTAACAGAATTATGGATTGTTGTCATAAACTATAAGACTGAATGATAGTTACAATAATCTTGATGGAAGGTGATGGTCTGCGGTATTCAAGTTTGTCATACTTAAAATATATTTTTGTAATTTTTTTACTGTGCATTTATATTTGAATGTAATTATACATCCTTTATTGATACAAACAATGTACTTTTTTCTGACAGCACTGTATTTCATTGTTTAAAAATACTCTTATGGTTAGTGTTTTACTAATCATATTAACCAAGTCAGTCAAGTTATATCGAATTTATCATAAAGTAAAATTTTATACTGATTTTTACCGTTCGTATTTATCAAATAATAAAGTATCAAGTTGTAAATACTTGTAAAAAGTAAAAAAATAAACAAAAACTATAAATTATTGTTATTCATCAACATTCACCACTTTTCCCTACAACATGTTAAACAATATACTTTAATACTTAACAATTTTACTCAACATCAAAGCTTATCGCATTGTATTCATTAAATAATAATCAATTCCTGTACATTGGTTCGTTTAAATCATTGAAAAACTGAAAAATTAATACTTTTTTCTCAGTATTTGCAAGATTTCTTCATATGGTCGATTTTATTAAACCATTTGAACATCTATATTTTTAGAGGTCGACTTTTGGGTGAAAAATAGATTGTAAACGTGCCGCAAACAGAACAGATTACGGCAACTTTTCATTATCTATCTACAAGATTAGTTGCGGCTGGTTTATAATTGACTAAATAGCTCTAATACAATAAGTAATAATTATTTGGATCAGCGCCATCTAGCGCTGCGAATTTCTGAACTAAAAAGTGGCCCTAAACTTTTGAACCAGAGCTTTAGCGCGTAGAGCCATTCAGTCAGTTATAAACCAGCCGCAACTTTTTGATAGAGCTAAAAAATAAAAAAATAATTATACGTATGTTTTTGGCGGCAAGATAACAATCTATTTTCTACTAAAAAATTGACCTCCTATGTGTTTATACTTTTTAAGACGAATTTTCGAGTAAGAGATAAATTTTTATCTTGCCGCCAAAAACACACGTATTATTATTTTTTTATTTTATACCTTCGTCATAAGTTGCGGCTGGTTTATAATTGACTAAATGGCTCTAATCGTAAATGCTCTGACTTAGAATTTTAGGAGCCACTTTTGGCCAAAAATTAAAGACCGCTAGATGGCGCTGATCCAAAATAATTATTGCTACTTACGGTAAAGTCACTTTATTAGTTATAAACCAGCCGCAACAAATTAAATGGATAGATAATAAAAATTTAACATTTTTTGTGCTACTTGCGGCAAGTTTACAATTTATCTTTTACCTTAAAATCGACCTCCAAAACCATCAATATTCTACTCGTCTTATATGGCTCATAAAATCGACAATATTTATAAAATTACAATACTCTTGACCTTTTACCATTAACTCATGTAAGCACAAATTAATCAGTCCAAAAGAGACAACCGAAGAAAAAAGGCTTAATAAAGAGTTTCAGTCACACGAAAAGACTCATAAGAATGGAGCATAGGATCTCACGTAATCAGAGAATGTTCTTTGATTATTTATAAGACTGAAAATTTACATCTCTGTAATAAATGTATTTTTTTTTTAGTAAGATCCAATGCTCCATTCTTAAGAGACTCTTCCTGTGACTGTGCTTCTCTTTTAGGCCTTTTTTCTTCAGTTGTTTCTTTTCGACTGATTAATTTACAGTATATTTGATCGTGATTTACGATTTCTGTAACACAAATTTTGTTATGTACATGTTATATAAGTTAACTGTTTATTGGAAATATAAGGTTGAAGGGCTGTTCTTTTATTAGTTAATGGTAAAAGGTCAAGAGTATTGTAATTTTATAAATATTGTCGATTTTCTGAGCCATATAAGATAAGTAGAATATTGATAGTTTTGGAGGTCAATTTTAAGATAAAAGATAAATTGTAAACTTGCCGCAAGTAGCACAAAAAATGTTAACTTTTTATTATCTATCCATAAAATTCGTTGCGGCTCGTTTATAACTACAATAAAGTGACTTTACTGTAAGTAGCAATAATTGTTTTGGATCAGCGCCATCTAGCGGTCTTTATTTTTTGGCCAAAAGTGGCTCCTAAAATTCTGAATCAGAGCATTTATGATTAGAGCCATTTAGTCAGTTATAAACCAGCCGCAACATATGACAAAGGTATAAAATAAAAAAAATAATAATACATGTGTTTTTGGCGGCAGGATAACAATCTATCTTTTACTCAAAAATTCATCTTAAAAAGTATAAACACATAGGAGGTCAATTTTTTGGTAGAAAATAGATTGTTATCTTGCCGCCAAAAACACACGTATTATTATTTTTTTATTTTGTAACTTTATCATGGGTTGCGGCTCGTTTATAATTGATTAAATGGCTCTAATCCTGATTGCTCTGATTCAGAATTTTGGGAGCCACTTTTGGCCAAAAAATTGAAACCGCTAGATGGCGCTGATCTAAATAAATATACTTATTTTACAGTAGAGACACTTTGTTAACTATAAACCAGCCGCAACTGCTATTGTAGATAGATTATAAAAAGTTTAACTATTTTGTGTTATTTGCGGCAAGTTTACAGTTTATCATCGAGCCAAAAATCGACATGTAAAAGTATAAACATTCTACTTATCTTATATGGTTTATAAAATCGACCACATAAAATAAAATTACAATACCTCAAGCTTTTTACCATTAACTTATGGAAGTACGGCCCATTAACGTTATAGTTTAAATAAACAGTTTACTTATATGATACGTATTGTGTTACAGAAATCTTGAAGAACAATCAATTAACTACTTGAATTTATCAGTCTAAAAGGGAGGACAGAAGAAAAAAGGCTCAAAAATGATGTTCAGGGACAAGAAGAGTCTCATAAGAATGGAGCATTTAATTTCACTAAATCAGAGGGATGATCGGGATGATATGCGGACAGCGGGACAGCGTTGGGTTAAGAGTTGGAACACAGGTTGACGCTAGCGCCGCACGACCTTGCGACGTTACCACGACCTACGTAACTTCACTTGCTGCCTTGCTGGCAGTGCTGCAGAATTCAAGGGCTTGCATTTGCACACACAAGGCTTGCTGTCTCTGAGTATACTGCTGTTGTGAAAACAAGTGATCCTTCAGCGTTAAAATTTAAGTGACTGCAAGCTCTCCCGAGCACATTTTATACTTCATTTGAAAAAGTAGCGTTTTTCTTTAAAATTCCTAACCTTATATCCACGTAATTACGTGGATTTAGTGCGAATAGACACAGCGTTTATCATTTGTCCGTCTATTCATGCGAGGATGGAGTCTACAAAAATTGATTGGGGAAAATACGTTGAGGACCAAGAGAAGCTGCTGACTACACAGGTGACTTTGACCGGCATAACCTATGTACCGAAATCAGTTTTCAGACTATTTCGCGTCTTAATAAAATTTACGTACAAGTTCTCTCCATAACTTTTAAATCTTTCTCTTTATTTTAATCGTCACAATTAAATTCACTCATGTTGATGTACAAAACTTTAAGGTTAGGTGTTTGTTGTTGATTGGAAAATGCGTTGAGTCCTGTGAATGAGATTTTGTTCAATCCAAATGTGATTTACCAACTATTTGCAGCTAACGAATCTGGATGTTAAATCGGAGGAAGAAAAGAAACCTGTACTCGCGGCTGCTGACGCGGAAAACAAACCAGCAACAGTTCAGGCCGATGCGGACCAAGATTCCAATGCCGGGACGGACAAGGACATCTCGGCTGCAGAGCAGTCGCTGTTACAGAAAAAGATCAGGAAAGGCTTAATCGAAACCAAGAACACGCCGGAAATACAGAGGAAGAATCCAAACTCACCACTGTACAGTGTCAAAAGCTTTGAGGCTCTCAATCTGTGAGTGCAGTGAATTACTTATTTTACTCGTAGTTTTTTCTTTGAGTGTCTCATCGAAGAATACCAGTGTTTTCTCACGTTTGGCTTTTGTTTGTAGAAAACCAGAGTTATTAAAAGGAGTTTATGGTATGGGTTTCAATACTCCTTCAAAAATTCAAGAGACTGCCTTGCCAACATTACTGGCTGATCCGTAGGTTTTATTTTTTTGTCGATTATTTTCTGCAGTTTTAAGTTTTTCTTTCAAAATTTGTTTGTTTACAGACCTCAGAATATGATTGCTCAGTCACAGTCTGGTACTGGAAAAACGGCAGCTTTTGTATTAGCCATGTTGAGTAGAGTTAATGCAACAAAAATGTATCCACAAGTGCTGTGCCTGTCTCCAACGTATGAATTAGCCATACAGACTGGGGAAGTTGCAGCAAAAATGTCTAAATTTTGTCCAGAAATAAAAATGAAATACGCCGTGAAAGGAGAAGACCGTAGGTGTTTCACTTATCTTGTATTATCTACTAAAGATTCACGTCAAAAACTATCACGTCTGTTATTTCAGTGCCAAGAGGAACAAAACTCGATGATCACATTATCATTGGAACTCCAGGGAAAGTTTTAGACTGGTCCATCAAGTTCAAATTTTTCGATTTGAAAAAGATCTCTGTATTCGTCCTGGATGAGGCTGATGTGATGATTGATACGCAAGGCCATCAAGATCAATGCATAAGAATACACAAGTGAGTGATTTTGTTATTCAAAATCAGCTTTTAGCTTTTTTCCCCTTATCCCCCACTTTCCCCAAGTAAGCAAGTCTTTTGGGCTAGCCCCTACTGCAAAGTTGCCTTCAGATGACCTACTAGGTACTGATTGAAGGGCGCAGCTATCGTCTGAAGTACATCCTAGCCATTATCAGGTTTAATGAAAGAATCTTTTCTATTAACCGTGTAGTAATACCTCATGGTACCGAACATTTATAACTAATAATGACTTTACTGGTGAGCTGACCAAATGTTGGCTTCTCTTTGGGACTATTCGTTTTACAAGCCGGTTAAGTAGCTTTTTATGGCATCCAAGGTTCTCATCCCATGGAGAAAGCCTGAACTTTTCGACGGGATTCTGACCCACGACCCCCAGAGTTCCTTCAAGCTACTTTTTCTCTCTTATTTTATCCATACGTTTTTCTCAATACAGGCAACTGTCTCCCACATGTCAAATGCTGTTCTTTTCTGCTACTTATGAGCCAGAAGTAATGGAGTTTGCAGAGATCATTGTCAGCAACCCAATCATAATACGATTGCTGAAAGAAGAAGAGAGTTTGGACAATATCAAACAATACTACGTCGAGTGTAGGGATCTTGATGGAAAGTATCAAGCAATCACCAACATTTATGGAGCCATAAGCATTGGACAAGCCATCATTTTCTGTCATGTAAGTTATTTAAATGAAAGTAATTGCTCAAATGAGCTAAGCTTTTGTTATTTCAGACAAGACAAACTGCCAACTGGTTGTCAGAAAAAATGACAAAGGATGGACACGCCGTGGCCATACTCTCTGGCGAACAAACTGTCAATGACAGGATTGCCGTACTAGATAGGTTCAGGGAAGGTTTAGAAAAAGTTTTGATCACCACAAACGTTCTTGCTAGAGGTAAGACTTTATTCTTCATTATCTAGATTATAAAAAATAAAAAAACTCACCAACAATCAATATGCATGCTTATTTCTCGATTTGTTTGCAGGCATCGATGTCGAACAAGTCACGATTGTGATAAACTTTGACTTGCCCATGAATCAACATCGACAAGCTGATTGCGAAACCTACTTGCACAGAATAGGTAGAACGGGACGTTTTGGTAAGAGCGGCATCGCGATCAATCTTATTGATACACCTCACTCGATGAGAGTTTGCAAAATCATTGAACAACATTTCAAGAAAAAAATTGTCAAGTTGGATTCAGATGACACCGACGAGATTGAAAAAATTGGTGCTTAAGTGCCGGTCACTTCCAGACTAAAGAATAACAGTGATTTCTTATATTTATATTAAGGATGATAAGATATGTGTGTAAAATGTAAAAGTTGGAGTTTGACAGAGCACTTTACCTTTTAAGATACGATTAAGTTTTGACTAAGGTAGCAAAGTCCTTACAGAGAAATAAACATTTTTCTTAAAAAAAGAACAAACGAAAAATCTCGTGCTCTTTTTTTTTCATTTTCTACAAATAACCCATTCAAATTTCCAGTCAACCAAGTTTCAAGAAATAGGTACATCGGGGCTCGTAAATGAATTCTCTCCTGTGTCCATAACAGCACGTGCAAGCTTACAAAAGCCCTTGCATGGTATTTCGCAACGAAATCCTCTCCAAAACTGCGCCAGCTACAAGTGTACTCTCAAGTTCTCGAGAGGAGGCACTCACCCGGCAGCTTTTTCAACTTTTTCAAAGCGACGTAAAAAGCCTCTATTCTCGCGCCATCGGTATTCTCTCTCGGCGCGCAAGAGCCAAAGAAGGAGAGAGAAAAAAGCACACCTCGACAGCAGCAGCACCAGCTGGCAGCAGCGGTAGCGCGCGTGACAGCGCGAGTCAGTCAGCCCCAGGTGTCGGTCGCGCGCTCATGTATACGTCACCTCGGCGAGCGCGTAACACTCCGTACAGTATACAATCGTAAAAAAAAGAAAAAAAAAAAAAAAAAAAAAAAAAAAAAAAAAAAAACGACGCGTGTGTGCTGGTGACGCGAGCCCTCTTGTTATACAATTGGATACATGCAGCTCGCGAATGACCTGTAAGTAAGCACGAAGCTCTCGTCATCCTCTGATCTTCAGAAAAGCTTGCAGCGCTGTTTGATCTTGGCACCTCTGTGTACTCGTATCGCCGTAAGCTCGCGTAACACTTTGCGTTCGGAAGGGGAAAAAAAAGCTCGTACCAAATGACAGTCGATCGAAGGGACGTATAGGTGTACGGTGGGATCCGTGTGTCTCGGGCGTCGTTGTACGGGACACCGGGGACAGAGGGAAAATAGAGCTGAGGCATATCATACGCGACGCGCTCCTCGAATCGATTTTTCGACCTTTCCTCGCGGCGCGAAGGTTGAAAGCTCGCGCCCTCCTTTACTATCGGAGCTTTATTTGTTGTTTTTCGGTGTCAATCGTGTCCCATCAGCTGTGACGAGAATTTTATTTATAGAAGCTTACACATCGGAAGCAGCAGCTATAGCTTTTCGATCCTGCGCCCAACGTGGTGAGGCTGCCCTTATTTCCCCATGTTTTGGTCGCTCGACGCGAGCTTTTCTTCACATCCCATCCACGTACTCTATGTGCACCCAAACGACAAGTGCGGCGATTGATATGAGTGCGGGTATACGCAGAGTGAAGGGAACGCGCGGTTGCGAGCTTTTCGTCCGTGGGAAGAGAGAGCGAGGGGGAGCTTTACATAACCCCGTTTTCCCCCGATGGGCGAAAGCTCTCGGTGAGCCCAAAGCTCGCCCGCCATTGGTCGGACCTGCTGACCTAGTGTGCCGATGTATTATATATTATGTTGCATGTGTTAGTTGATTGCATCGCAAGCACACACGCTCTAATAGTCGGCGGCGGAAAACAAGGGAGGGAGGAAAAGTTATAATTTGATTTTCTAAAAGGGGACGGCCCGCTTAGTGTATACTCATCCTCTCTTGTTTGGCGATTTTTTACCGATCCCTGCGTGTGTACTCCGATACTATTTACAGGTGTTTGTGTGTATCTCTCCAAGTTTGATCGGTTTATATTCGAAGAATGCGCGTTACAATAATTATTGTTTACGTATAACATATTATGGACGCGTCGCAAATGTGTGCAACTTGATAATCGAGCGAAGGATGTAACAATAGCGTGTCGGTTTAAGGGAGTCGTTGAAAAGCTCAATGCGTTGGTATGAACTCAATGTCTACTGTAATCAAATTATCGAAAGAATATGCGAAATCGGCTTCGCGTGCGAGGAAGATAAATTCGTGTCGTTCGAGTAGTTGCAACGATTTCTTCTTCTTCTTTGTTCTTTTTCGCTAAAATTTATAGGGAGAAATCTAAACGGAACCGCCGGTATGGCTACAAGAACTAGAGACTTTCTCGATTTGTTTACGAACTCGCGTCCGGTGAATCATCGAGCGGTCGAAAAGTCCTCGTGTCGCGGCTACGAAAACCCACGATCTACCAACTTTTTCGTCACGACCACGTGCGCTCGGGACCGCACTCTCCGATCAGTTGTGCCTTATCAAACGAGAGGACAAGGAAAAGAGACAAAAAGAAACGTCGGAGAATGCAAGACGCACATGCAACTCATCCGGAGTATTATGCACAAGACGAATAATACAACATGTGTATCGAACGCGTGTTTATGAGCTAAGAGCCTATAGATCGTGAAGGTCGCGGAATGTACTATATTCACACACAAATATAGGTATGTTATTAACGAGGACTCTGATTGTTGTGCAATCGGTGTTTTCTCCTTCTCTCTATTTTCGTAGGCGCGAAGGAGGAAAAAAAGAAACCGGTCTCACATTGGCGTGTATCGCGCTTTCGATCGGCTTCTTGTTCGATTTTTATTTGTTCGGGGTAAACAATTTCAGTGTCTCCGTGCTATGTGTGTCTCCAGGCGCGCTAACTCATCTTTAACGTGAATCAATCTGTACGCGCGTTTACATCATCACATGCGCGAAGACGATAATGACGCGTACTTGCGGTTTTTAATCGGTACGAGCACGTGAGTTCCCGGACTTTTTTTTTATCTTTACGCGATGAAAATTCAAACGTGGTGAATCATCGGCGATTGGTTTACTTATCTCGTGGCGAAATTTGTATATTCTTTCACTCTTTTCCAAAATGCATGATTGGTGTACCTATTTATGCTCTCGGTTCCGTGGACTTGACCTCAAGATGACGGCACGGAGATGACCTCGCGTTATCGACAAAACGGCATTATAAATATAACAATAATCCAATAGTTGAAGCCGAGACATGCAACTTCGTCGTATCGTGGACACCTGCACTTTTTTCGAAAGTACCTTCGGAAAAAACCTTTAACTGTTTCGTCTTTGTTTGATAAACCCTTTGAGTCTACCTTTACACTACTGCAGTTGGTATTGGTCAAAATCGGTCAATACGTATCATTTCATGCATTCATAATATGGTCTTTACTGATTTGCAAGATCAAACGATTGCAACCGCGGTTTTGTTCTTCAACGCCAGACTTGTACAATATACGATTAAACTAATGATCATCATAAACTTTTACAGCTGCATTGGTAGAATCAGTGGGCAAACGTGCCATTGGCTGGAAACTCGTGCACGTGTATTATTTATTCTTCCCTCTCTCGTCCATAGCTTGATACTTACACTGAATTTTGGCACAGAATTTGCGCTCAGCTATTTTCGCTGTAAGCTCTCTTGTTGGTAATCTCTCTTTTTCACGAATGTTATTGGGCACAGTTTTTCACAATTTCACGCAATTACTCTGAATTAGCTAAATTTATCAGGTTCCGAACTGTAAACGATCATTCGGTTGGAAAACTAAATTTTTTCACGCTTCAAAGCGACAAATTGTACCATATTTTTGAACCACAAGTAAAGCAATCGTATGTATACAGCAATATCACACGTAATCTCGCGTAATCTGGTGGAGCGATTCGAGATTTATGTCAAATAGCCGCAGGTTGTAAGTCACAAGTGTAAACTATAAAAATTTAATTTTCAATCATTTTAACAGCACAAAAAATCCGTGTCCCAAACTCGACTATGACACTTAATTGATTAGAGTTTAAAAAACAATTGTGCCTCATACACTTGCAACATGTATTTCTTTTATCCATCTACTGATTACTACATTTCTATTTTTTCAATTTCCGCAAGGCAAGTCTTATTTCCTAAACAGCTTTGAAAAAATTGTACATCTAACTCTTTGTTTGAAGATCGTTACCGATAATTGACGTGAAATGTAGACGATAAATCTACGTGTGTGACGATGTTGCGATGTTGTCAAGTTGTGATGAAACGTTGAGACAAAAACCGTCGTATTAGTTAGAAAGAATTTACTACTATATAATACTAATGAGATTCAAAAATCGTTGCTTACAACCAACGGTACTATTGTTTCATCCTATATACAGTGTTCATTGATCGGTAGATTATTCCTACTGATTGGATCATACGTTTTTCTTGCGAAATTACAATCAAACGAATTGTAGAGTTCCGTACATAAATAGTCAAGATTAGAGATGACAAACTGGAAAACTCAATACCAACAACTCATGCTTATCGCTGGCACGAGCAAAGTGTATAGCAATCCAGTCTATAGAAACAAGAGCAAAGCAATATAACAGAGTCATCGAAACTGTATGGAATCCGCTCTTGATTCGATGTTTGATGAAGGAAAAAAAAAAAACTGAAGAGAACGTGATTTATTATGCTTGTGCTTCCGGAAGCTATATCTCCACACAGACACGAGTGTCGTATCCCTAAATGTGAACCGAAGTGATCTAGTTTCGGTTAAGCCGGAACATATTTATTCTTATTAGGTATATACGGCTCGTGCACTTGACTTTTTTTCCAGCAAAGTTTCCGAACCTCGTCTTGATAAAACAAAAAGATACACACATGGTACAGAAGTAAGTATATTATATATCTTACTGGACTCTAGAAGCTTTAATTCCTTTTTTAATAACAATAATAAAACTAAGTATACAGTGAAAAGAAGCGCTCAATATCATAATCTCGCTCATCACGGTCCTGTATCTGTTCGCGTGAAATAAAAAAAAATTCTAGCGTCATTTTAACCGGTTCATCAATACATACCTTTGAATGAAAAATGGATAATGATTGCAAATAATGAAACTTTGTTCACACGGGCTTCGATAGGCAAAATAAAAAAAGCTACCAATAACTCTTTCTTCATCACTTTTACGTGTACATTATGCTTCATGCAGTTGACATTATACGTGCAACGATGAGTAATATACAATTTACTTGGCACCCTATATTTTATACTTCACGGCATCTTATTCGGCGTCCAGTCAGAGATTATAACTGCGATTGTTACCTTCGAATTGTCATAGGAAGTCATTTTCGTCCTGAAAGATATCATGAAATCTCTGTTAAGGCTGAAAAAATCAAGAAAAACAATTTTCATCTTTGGTGTGATTAATTGTTTATATTTCACACGGATCGTCCTGTTTCCCGAACAAAAACTAATATAACCTGTTCGCAATCATTTACATACATAATGAGTAGCACCCGTGGCTAATTTTAAGATCTCGATCGATTCGCTTACATTTGTAACTCTCAAATCAAAAATAAACAAAACAGGAGATTCGATAGCTGTAAAAGTAACTCGTAACTCTAGGCTTTTACTGAAGGCAAAAATCCATATCAACAATGATGGTATACACTTTAGAATATCGTGATTGTGGGAACAACTGAAATGTAATAAAAGTAAAAATACAAACAACAATCATAATAACAATAACAGTTACAGTCCCAAGAATATTAATTGTTCTGTTCACATGTACATAGTTAATATACATAATATGTAAATATGTTAATCTTACATTAAGTTACATTAAGTTACCATTTACCTTTGGTTTTTTTTCTTATTCTGAGTTAAAAAAAAAAAAAATCGTACGGATGGGCTTTTTCTTTTTAAAATGTAAATGTGAAGGATTTTGAATAAACGATCCATTCAGGTATACCAAACATCTTAAATAAAACAGTAATTTTTTAAAATCGGTTATTGGTCCATCATTTTCAAACCCCAAATATGTCAGTGACTCTTTTACTAAAGATTCAATTGCCCCAATGCAACACAATAGAAAAGTGAAAAAATTCTTAAAATGATTGATAGCCCACATCAACATTAATTTTTCTCATGACATTTACTTCTTATTGAACTCACTTGTTGGGTTTACAGTATACATACTAGTACATTGAGAGCTTAGATACGTCTGTGGCTTATCACGCGGACAATGGATTTTTTGTCTACTTAACATTGTAAAGCAAAAAAACCTTACCATATCCTCAAAACAAACAAACGTTTGATATCTCACTCAAGTATATACGATGGTGAGGGCGAAAAATTTTTCCCAAGTCTTCGAAAGTGCCTAGGAGTGCACTCAAAGTCCACTGTCTACCGCACCAAATTTGCTCCATCTAAAAATAAAAGTCAAATCTTCCTTATTCCATCTCACCAAATTCTAAATACGTATACACCTCACACGCACAGCACCCGTACATTTGCAGCAATTCAAAATAATACTTACTAGCCTTTTGTCTATGTCAAGTTCGTCGCTTATTACGAGATCGGTGCCGGATAATATATCGCTCGAATCTCACCCGTACACCTGCAGAGTCTCCATTATGTGCGGTATTACATAAGTAGGTACATGTACGAGCTAGCAATGCTCCTCGTCGCGTAACTGTACGAGACACGACGTTTGCCAACTCTCAAGTTGTCGTCATCGCACCTTTGCACTATATGTGTATTCTACATAAGATGTGCATACAATGTAAGAATCTCGTGATTACAGCTTGATCATGGGCAAAGAATTAGACGGTGTGAGGTATACTTCAGTCGTAAGAAATCGGTTTTGAAACACTTTTTTTTTTTCTTCCTTCTTCTGTATTTTCAATCGGAGTACAATATATTGGGTTTACACCGTTGGTACATGCTGGCGTTTACGATTTGGTCAGGATGAGTTATGCGGTTGCACAGGCGATACTCATAATTTATATGACCGAGCTTGCATTTTTTTTTTCTTTTTTTTTTTTACTTTGGTTTTCTAGGCACGAGTAATGCTTCGTTATAATGACGATGGATAATTGTCTCTTTCAGACAAGAGTATTTTTTATAAATCATTATTCCCGTTAAGTGTGATTTAAAGCTCGCGAGGACTTAAAAATTATCATTTTTCTTTTTTCACAAGTACAACGTCAGGATTTCTTAATATACTTACACGCGATATAACTACATCCTATACTTGTAGGCCGTACATTGTCGAACGAAAATACCTCTCTGACCATGTATGCTTCCTCGCAAAAGTCACGGTGCGCGAGTCCGGTGTACGAGCTCCCGGTCTCCCTGAGGCTAAAATGGTACCGAGCCAACTCGTCGCATCGTCATAATCGTTCACTCGGCTAATATTTCCTTATCGCAGTGATTTTTCAACCTTGGCCGGCATGAGCTGTATTTGTTAGTATAATGTCTCTCCTCCCCGTGCGACGGTACACCATAGTTTGAGAGACAGGTGTAGGATCCCGTGACCTTTTCCATCCGCCTGGACCTTCCATAGTTTTTTTTTATGTATTTTTGTTTGCTGAACACGAACTTTGGTAGTGAGTCACTCTACGAGGAGGCATTTTTTTTTTTTTTAATTTAATGAATTATCGATACTGCTGTTTCGACAAAAGACAATTTTTTGTTTGATTCTTTAGCTTAATTAATTCAAACAACAAATTTTATACAGCGTGCATCTCTAGACTCTCCAAATTAGAAACAAGTAATGCATTGTTACAGAAAGCTAGTAATTCCAATGTGAATTTTTTAAAATTATTTTTTTTTATTGTTCTAATTTTTCTAAATTGTTTATACAGTGCAGTGTTATAAGGTAGAGTTATTTTGTTTTCAGTTAGTATAGATATAAACAAATTTATTTTTCTTTCTTCCTTACGAATCCAATTTTGGGGAGAAAATCAAGTTTTGAAAAATACTCTCCTTTTAAAAACAATGTTTTAAATTAATTTTAATGTACTATGTGTAAGCTAAATGACAAAAAAGTAGTAATGACTTTTAAATGTTGATTTTAATAATCTGCATTGCTCAACTTTTTTTCAGGAAAATGAAGCAACAGGTTTTTTTATACTCGTAAAACAATTAAGTGGATAAGAGACTAAAAATGGTTAAAAAGCTCATTTTTTGAAGCTTAGTTCTTGTAAAAGCATTCTAGAGCTTAGAGATGCGCACTGAATAAAACATTTTGTTATAAATTGACGAAAGAACCGGGTTTTTATTTATTCATAATATTTTTCAATGAAAAAAATTATATTGCTCGTACAAAAATCCAACCAAAAACATTATGTTCATCAGTCAAAAGTACATTTTGAAAAATTTCTGTAAATCTATCCGAATTGAAAAGGTCACGAGATCCTATACTTGACCACCCGACTATCAGTGTGCGAATAAAAAATGTTTTAGAGGTATATATTTGGTATTGCAGCCACGGGGATACGAATAACTGAACATTACGTTTTGGCTCTGCCACATTGCTAATACGTGCTAAATGTTTCACGCGTCTATTGTCGAAGAATCCCAGTTTCAAGGGTACACAATGTTGTTCGAGAGATAGTGAGATATCTACGCGCGCTCTTTATTTTTGGCTTTTACAAGCTGAATAATAGGAAGGGATGTCTGCACTGTTATTCTTTAGATGGGTTATTGTTACCAGGCTTGGGGTAATTACTACCACACCTTTGATATTTTTATCGAGTATACCGGTTGCTCGTTTTAACGGATGTTTTAATTTTTCCCGAAGAATCCATTTCATGAGACGAACACGGGTTGTTTCTTTCGTATTATAACTGATTCCATCCAAACACGTGCCGTGACAATTATCTGTGCAATGAATATGAAACACTTGCACATCCTTTTGACTTTATTTAACCTGTTGAAAAATAAATCGGTATGCCACTCACAAGCCAAGGCGTTACATTTTACGTGCACGTGCCGATCAAACGTAAAATCGTCACTATATCGCACTGAAACTCGGCGAGAACCCAAGATTACCTCGAAACTAATTATTTCGCGTTCCATGAATCAATTATTCAACACTAATAATGAGCCGCACAAGAATCAATTTATCGAGGAAGAATTTGTGGAAACACCATGATATCATAATTAATAGGCGGTGAATTGAATAAGCGATGGAAAGAAGGATTGGCACTGCAGGTTGGCAGTGGAGCCAGACTCTCGGGTGTCCCGCCAACAATGACCTGACCTCCTTCGGCTGGCTGTTCTTAATTTTCTATATCTCACCGTCGAGACGGCTGATGGTCGTCAAGTTCGAAAGTCGTTGGTCTAAGGTTACCGGGACACGCCGCAGTGAAAGGGCATTTAACGGAAATCGGTAACAAACATCGAACAATGTAATGTTAATTATTTAGAGATGGAAACTTAAAAAAAAAGCACCGTTGCAAACTATACCAGCGACGAACAGTGATCGGTTGAGGGGCGGATTTAATTATAAATGCCGATCACTCGATCGGCAGAGACAAAGTATCAAAAGAATGTAGCGTCAGATCTACTTTTGTCGCCCGATCTAAATTAGGTCGCTCAGCTGCTGTTTATTGTTATACCCACTGCATATGCGTTCCTCCCCTCGATGAAGTAAGCTCCCGATTTATCTGACGCAACAATGTGATGCAAATTATCATAGCTTATACACTTATTTGCAAGGTGTATTATTTTTTTTTTTTTTTTTTTTTACTACAAACACGCCTATGTTTCAGAAACTTGTAAGCAGCACGAAAACGAGAGGAAAACCAAGAGTATGGCGACCCTAAGACTACTGGCGGCCGGGGCGAGCGCCCTCGGCGCCGGCACCCTCACATCGTACTATCTTCTTTCGCCCGACACCCCCGTAAGTACGTTTTCATCCACGTGTACTGTGCACAAAAATACATACGCGTCACGTCAAGGTGTTAAGATAAAGATTACAAGTTTGATTTTACTCTTGCACTTTGCAAAGTCGACCAAAGTATATGCGCGTGATCGGTAATTATTAGACACTTTTCTGGAAATTGAAAAAACATAAATGGCACTTGTAAAGCGTCCATTTCACTATAGTGTAAATTAAAAACTCTAAGTATTGTTTACAAATTTTAATTCAGAGTTCAAACTGCCATTGTGGAAAGTGATCTCGTTTGGTTGCCCACATACATCGATTATCACGTGATCCCACACTGGTAATTCGGTCAATAATAAGACAGACTTTTGGACCTGATTATCATAGATTTCTTACATCCTGGCATGTTAAGCTTTATGAGAGCCAAAGTATCACTCATCCCTTAAAGTTACATGGAAAAAACAATTGGTTTTTATTAATCAGTGAACAAACAACATGTATGAACAAAAACCCCTTGGTGTCGCAGGTACATGCAGAAATTGCACGACCGCCCAAGCGACCTCTGCCAAGCCGCGAGGATCAGATAGCAGCGCTGAAGAAGGGCGATGTATACGACGTTTTAATCGTGGGCGGTGGCGCTACGGGTGCCGGCTGCGCCCTCGACGCGTGCACGCGAGGTACGTACCCCCCCTTTTTACGCTCAAGTGGATTATGATGAAAAAACAAAAAAAAAGAAAAAAAAAGTTAATAAACGAGCTCTGCGTTGCATTGAATGACGCGAAGGACTGAAAACCGCGCTCATCGAGGGCGACGACTTCGCGTCGGGCACCTCGTCGAGGAGCACCAAACTCATCCACGGTGGCGTGAGGTATCTGCAGAAGGCGATCATGCAGCTGGACATCGAGCAATACAGGATGGTCAAGGAGGCCCTCAACGAGCGCGCCTCCATGATCCACAACGCCCCCCATTTGGCCCATCCACTACCGATCATGCTTCCCGTCTACACGTGAGTGGTTTTTACTACATTATGTGTTTAAGGCATTATCACGATGTGCAATGCATATCTGAAGGTTGACGTAATCTTTTTGACGTTATTTCATTGATAATAACATCGTGAATGTAATATAAAACGTCACAAAATATCTCGAATACGAGAGTCTCAGGAATATATATGGCTCTTAATTGTGCCTCGTCTACTGCAAGTGAAACTAGCTGAACTGAAAAGTTACTCGTCAACCTTTTGAAATGATGACTGGCGTGATTTAACATTACAAAAGTAACAACAATTTTTTATCATCGGTAAATTATTGTATGTTGTGAGTGGTGTTTTTATAAGTAAATACTCCTATAACGGGATGAGAAAAACCTGTATGTTACTGTGACAACCCTGTGCAGGGTGTCTCGAGTAATTTCTTTGCGTTGCATTATAGAGTATCGGTCTACCTTGAGATGGTTTGTATTTTTCAGGTGGTGGCAGATACCGTACTACTGGTTCGGCATCAAAATGTACGACCTCGTGGCCGGCACCAAGACCGTCAAGTCCTCGTACTACCTCAGCAAGGGCGACGCCCTCGAGCTGTTTCCCATGTTGAAAGGCGACAAGCTCACGGGCGCCATTGTCTACTACGACGGTCGGTGACTTTTAATGATTTAAAAATATATGATATGTCCCTCGTAGATAATGGTTGTTTGAAATAAAAATGTCTGTAACGAAAACAATAGGGCAACAGGATGACGCTCGAATGAACTTGGCGGTAGCTCTGACGGCGTCGAGGCACGGAGCGACCGTAGCGAATCACGTGACCGTGACCAATCTCCTCAAAGGAATCGACAAAGTATTTGCCCATATTCAATTGGCTTTTTTTTTCATGTTTCATCAAATCACCAAAACTTTCATTGAAATACAATTAATCGCAGGATGGACAACGAATCCTCACCGGAGTCCACGTACGAGACGAACTGACCGGCCAAGAGTGGGACGTCAAAGCCAAATCGATTATCAACGCGTGCGGCCCATTCACCGACTCGATCCGAAAGATGGACGACGCAGACGTGCCGGAGATCTGTTGTCCCTCGTCTGGCGTGCACATTGTCCTGCCCGGCTACTACAGGTACAACGGTTGCGCCTAATACCTCAGAGGACTGCACATCCAAACTTGTGGTTATCTTGTTGCTTCCTTCGTTTCTCAGTCCCGACCAGATGGGCCTACTCGACCCATCGACGAGCGACGGCCGCGTCATCTTCTTCCTGCCCTGGCAGAAGCACACGATCGCCGGCACGACCGATCTGCCCTGCAACGTGACCCACAACCCAAAGCCCACCGAGGACGAGATAATGTTCATCCTCCAGGAGGTCAAGAACTACCTGAACCCTGACGTCGAGGTCCGTCGCGGTGACGTGCTTTCGGCCTGGAGTGGCATCCGACCCCTGGTCTCCGACCCGAACAAGCCCAACACCCAGTCGCTGGCTCGCAACCACATTGTTCACGTGAGCCCGTCGAAGCTTATAACGATCGCGGGTGGCAAGTGGACCACTTACAGGGCCATGGCCGAGCACACCATCGACGCCGCTATCAAAGGTACCTAAACAAACAAAACGAGTTTTACCATTGCGCCCATGTGTATATGTGTATAACGATACGAGAAAACTGCGTTTGTGTAACAGCTTGCGACCTCAAGCCCGAGCGAGGCTGCCAGACCGAGGGTCTGCTGTTGGAGGGTGCCCACGGCTTCAGTCCTACCATGTACATTAGGCTAGTGCAGGACTTTGGGCTCGAGTGCGAGGTGGCCCAGCACTTGGCCAAGAGCTACGGCGACCGGGCCTTTGCCGTCGCGAAGATGGCCTCGCTGACCGGCAAACGGTGGCCCATCATCGGTAAAAAGATCCACCCCGAGTTCCCGTACATCGACGCCGAGGTCAATATCATGATGTAAATTTTCGCCTTTTTTTGGGGGAAGCGTCTAATGTTTCGTTCGATGGGCCGTAGATACGTTACGGATGCCGGGAGTACGCGCGATCGGCTATCGACATGATAGCTCGCCGATTGCGGCTGGCCTTCTTGAACGTGCAGGCGGCGCAGGAGGCATTGCCAGGGATCGTCGACATAATGGCCGAGGAGCTCAAGTGGAGCGACGCGGAGAAGAAGAAGCAGCTCAAGGAGGCGACGGAGTTCATCGCCAACGAGATGGGCATGATAGTCAACAGGACGTCGCGCGACAAGATACCGATCAATCTAACCAAGGACGAGATACAGCTGTACATCAAGCGTTTCCAGATCATCGACAAGGATCGCAAGGGATACGTCTCCATCAACGACATCAGACGAGGACTCAAGGTTTGCTTGGAATTTCGAGTGACCTTTTTTTTCAATAATATTTGGGACTTTAAGTCTACCATTATATCGCGTTTAAGCTAGAATTGCAGCTAATCGGGAGTCAGGAAAATCGGTTGTTCATTTTTGTATGAATGTACGTTTCTTATGAATATTTTTTTTTCTTTTTTTTTTTTTAACGACTGGTATTCAAATAAGTATCTAACGTTGAAATATTATGGTTATTGAATTAGTTTTTATCGTGATTATTGTACAAATGAAAGAAAGATTTTTTTTACTACGGAAAGGTATTTTAACTGGTATACTTGTAAGTATAATGTGTATGGTAATTTTTTTTTAACTCCAATTCAAGCAAAGAGCCTCATTTGTGCCAAAAAATATCTTTTGCATTTAACACACGATCGTCAAATTTTACACCAGAGTGAAAAGTATAATTACAATACTTACATATTACTTTTCTGACATTTCGTGAATTTTCACTATAATTTCTTTGAATTTACACTACACATCTTATGATTTCGAATTATTTTCTTTTAAACTATTAAAAAATGGAGTTTTTTTTAAATGTAAAAAAAAGCTATTTTTCAGTTAAACGTATAGCTTTTATCAACCACATAACTTCTAGGCATAAACATTAAATTGTAACAATAATAGAAAAACGAGAGTATTTTAAAAAGTTATCAGCTGGTTTAAGAATAGAAAGGTGTTCAAAGTAAATTAAAAAGTAACAAAGCTACAAATTCCACAAAAGTTCCATTAACTTTTTGATAAAGTTTGTATTTTTGATCTCTACTTTGTTCTTGTATATATGCATTTACGCCCATCTCAATGAATTATACGTCCATCGGTGAAATGAATAAGCAAAAATGAAGAAATAAAAAAAACAAAAAATATTGATTAACCATAACGTAGGCTCTTGGAATAAAGCTGAACGAATCAGAGATGCACTTGTTACTGAACGAAGTCGATCTCAGCTACAACGGCCAGCTGGAGCTGCAAGACTATTTACAGGTAATTGTCACTTGAGCATTGAATTTTAAAGCTTCGTTGTTTTTTTCTGACCTCCACAGCTGTTTGGCGACAAGGATGTACCAGGTGACGAACTTCATGAAATCCTTAAAGAAATCGACACTAACATGAACGGTCAAGTAGAACTGGACGAGTACCTTCAGGTCTGTCAAAGTCGATGATGGCAAGAAACAAAAAAAAAAAAAAAGAGAAAGTTTTTATTTCGCAACAATTAATCAATTAATCAAACATCCACTGTCTTGTCTCTCTTCTGCAAAGGCTGATGAGCTGCTCTGACGAGACAAGTAGCTTTTTTGCAAGCTGTCGAGTCTTGATTTGTTATTTGTTTCTTCCAACTCTGTCGATTTTAGTATGCCTACTGCATTTTTTTTCTTTGATAAAAGTTGAAAAAAATTTAATCAAAATTTTTATGAAAACTTAACCGAAAACCTTTTTTATTAACTGAAATACTTTTGATTTTATTCTATTTAACAGTTTTGGCGAATCCAAACTTATCTGATGATACCTACGATACAAAGCCCGAAACGTTTTTCTTTTTTTCTTGTTTTAAACTTGATTTTTCTGATCTAAAGAAATAACCGGAGCTTTACCACGGAATCCCATGGATTTTTTCGTTTACGATTAAATTCGACAGAGTTAGGAAAAACACACGATCTTGCATTATGTTGTTAATTGTCCACTAGAACTTATTGCAACTTTATCCTCTTTTGTTATACGTGCATTAACTCTGCAACTCTCTTGTGTGCCAATACTTTTACCCGTAGCATCTATTCGAGTAGCTGTGGTTTTCGTAGTTTGCAAACGACACTTTTGTTCATTTTAATTTGTCTATTTGATACCCAAAAAAATACTCGTGCTCCCATATATCCTCAGTTTAGAATTATTTATAGCCTTTTTGGCTTTCGTTCCCAAAGTAAAGTATCTTGTTTTGCTTGAAAGTTTGCCCAAGTGCACGGAGATTTACCAAGAATAGTATTTTATTTTTATGTGAGATACACAATGCATACGCCTCCGATGCTGAGAACATTTTTGTTTTAATATTGTACTGTGAGTGGTCCCTTACTTATACTCTAAAAACAGCGTACAACAGTATCGTCTCGAAAAATTCAAGTTACTAAGGTGTTGGAGATTTTATTAATTAATATACAGTATTTTACTCAAAAATACTCATTAATTTTCATTGGTCGACTTTTGGAATGATTAAAAAATTTTTCACTTGCTTTTTTTAAAACTTTTTTTGGTAAATATGTATATATTATAATTAAGCAACGCTTATCTGTTTTTTTAAATATTTAAAGTCGAACGATGAAAATGAAATTTTTTTATAAGTGGTATATGTCTAATTTTACTAATAAAAAAAAAAAGATTCAGTTACTATCACTTTATTATTTAATTTTAACTAGAGTAATTTCAACTGACCATTGCTAATATTCCATTCATATTTATTTTATTGATACAGTTCGTAATTTTCACTATGTATTGCACGAAGAACACTATAGTGTAGTCGTTAATGCTTGCCTGCCTTAATAGATGTAATTTTTAAGTATAATTGCAAGCTCTACTATGAAGCGAGATGTCTACATTTTTAACTATTTTAACTTTTTTAACATTAACTGCACATTATAGTAGACAATTGAACGAATAGCTGATAGTAATTAGATCTTTAATTATAACCTTGATTTTTTTATGTACAGTACAAAAGTTTCAAAATTTTAAAATATGCTTTAAATTTTGTTTGAATCAAAAACATACAATTTTGCTGTGCATGGTTAAACTAATTAAAAATTAATACAAGAAAATACCAGTGATTTTCAAATAGATAAGAGTAAATAAAAAAATGCGGGTCTCACAAAAAAAGAACTTGTTTTTGATAATGTTAAAAAAAGTATTAAAACTTCAAATTATTATTATTAATAACCGACTATCCACAAACAAAGGAGTACTTCTTTATTAAAGCATATTGTACGAAAGTTTACAAGTGTTATTCGAACATATATATTTTTGTTATTATTAATTAAAATAGTATATTTTTTTCTTGTACAAAAACAAAACAAAATCAAAATTGTTTGGCAGATTGAAAATTTTCAAACTATTCCTTACAAACCTCCTTAATTTCTGGTGTGTAAAAAAATATACAAATATCTCAAACAAGTATATCGGTGAGCAACAAATTTGAAAATCAATGGTACAAGCTAATGGATAGCTTATAACATAATATACACAATTTGAACATGTTTACAATAAACCTCAAAGTTAAAAATCTTCAATGATTCACGTGACACAATGTTTTACAGATGATGTCGGCGATAAAGTCCGGCCATGTGGCTTACTCGCGATTCGCGCGAATGGCCGAGATGGAGGAGGCCGAGCACGAGAAGGACGCGCTCAAGAAGAAAATCAGCGTCGAACGATCGGGCGGTGGCTTGTAAACGGCCCCTCCCCAACTCGTATACCCTCCCTTGCATCGACTCTCGCGCATCTTCATGCATTACTATTGTTATAATTGTTACTGCTGTCAAATCCTTTCCACTCCACCCTACATCCACCGCCGAAGTTTGTTTTATCGCGATTATCCGTGCGACCAAAAACGAAAGATATACCAGTACGTTAATAGTGAAAAATTCCTATCTTTGCTCTACCGTTGCTGCACACATTTTGTTCATTTGGTAGGAAGAAAATTAGAGAATTCGACAGAAACGAACAGTGAACAAAACTCTTTCTTGTAAACATTAGCCATTTTTTTTGCGCTTTAACGAGGAATGTACTTTGGTGGAAGATTTGAGTGACGTACAAAACAAATGAAGGAAAAGAGAAACGATTTGTTGGAAAATTGTTTTTTTTTAAATTGGTCTCTTAGTGAATTTATCATGTTTAGGTTTTTTTTTTTTTTTCATTCGACTACGCGATCGCCACCGTTTCAACTGTCACTTTTCATCCGCTTGGATGACAAAATAATATACCTGTGCCATTTTCTGTTTTAAGATATAAATGTGTCTTACGCCATTTTTTTCTCACAACATAAAATACAACGTCTCGATGGCGTTTCATGTTCAACTTTATTATGAAAATAATTCTAATGGAATTCACCAAGTGTTTTAAAAACTGGGACTCTTTGACGCTACACTGTCGTATACTTGCCTTTTAAATGTTAACTTAATAAAACAGGTGAAAATAAGAGAAGCTAAAAAAAATCATGAAATAAACCCATGAGATATTGGAAAATAAAATAAAATTGAAAAAAATTAAACAAAACGGAATCTAGAATGACTGGTAAAAGGAAAAAAAATCCAGTGCAACACTTTCTCATTTTGTACGGTGGATCGTGAATAAAATTTGTTTATAGATAATATTGAGTGTGTACATAAGATAAACAATTAACTCATCTTTAATCGGTAAGGTCGTGCAACCTTCAATTGTTATTTGTGACACATGATTATTGTATTTAAATATTATCACACTAGAAAAATAAAAGAAAGTAAAAAAGGTACACCATTGCAATAATAATCGTGGTAACCACAACAAATTATAATACACTAGTAATAAATTCACACATGAATTCAAAAACCTTGTTGAAGTTATTTATTTAATTTTATTTAATTCAGCAAAAGTTATGTTTTAACATTAATAGGTTATTTAGACTTGATGCTGGCAAAGAGAAACATTAATTATTATTTAAATTACATCTACAATTGCATACGACGATGATGACTCATTATCGATAAACTCGCTGGAACGATTTGCAAAAGTCTGTATCGAATAAAAAAATGAAATTCTCTTAAATACGTCTTTTCATTTCACCATATCATTTAAGAGTTCACAATCAGATACATCCTTCCTAGCACACTTTTTTTTTTTAATTTGAAACATAGTGAAAACGTCGAAAATGTCCTCTGCATTTTGTCTCTAAAAATCTCCATTGAACTTCTTTGGCGTTAATTTACAATGAAAAAATAATTCCTGATGGCAATATGGACGCAAGGTATTGGATACAGCCGGCGAAACAAGCATTTAAGAAGATTATTAGAAAAGTAGAGCTTTTTTAATTCGATAATTTGTCACTTACTTGCTATATATTAAAACATAAAGTTGCATTATTTTTTATACTTACAATGTGCATCGTATATTAAAACCACGATAATGACGAATTTTTTTGAAGATAACCTTATAGTAGCTTTTTTCTTTTATTTTTTGAAGAATTATTTTTAAATTTCAACTTTCTCAGTTTGTTTATAAATATATAGTAAGTAGTGGTTTTATTTACTCATTAAATGTCATAGCATTGGAATACAAATGTTATCAAAAGCTTCTATAGATACACAATTTATTTCAAGTTAAAATGGTATATTGAATGAATCTTTTGATGATTGTCTCATCATAAGTTGATTTACATAAAATTCGAATTGTGAATTTTAAAGAAACAATCAGAGTCCTAGTACTAATTCTATTATGTTACTTGCTGATCTTGAAATTTATACAATAAACTAAGTGAGAAATACCAATGACGTGCAGCAGTAATAGCAGCGTAACCAAAAAGCCGAAGAATTTCATCTCTCACTCGTTGTATGGCAATCAATGAATACTATGATGCTATGCTAACGACGGTATATAAATGATACTGAAGACCAAAGTCTCGTTCATCCTATTTATACATTTTTGACAAGTAAAATTTATGCTTTATGTGGGCTAATAATTGAAACTTATTGACTATTGGGCATATCGATATCAGTCGTTAGTAGACGTCTACCAATTAATGTAGAGAACCACTTTTGTTAGGGGAGCACATCAGTAAATAAGCGTGATGTGTGTGGATATCCAATCACGTACTACTGACTCGAGGAATTATTTGTAACTGCCCTACTTTTGTCTTGCTTTCGTTTATGTCATTTCCATTGTTTCTTAGAAGCATTTTGCCGTCACCTGGTGGTAGGCATATTTAACTAAGGTAACGTTTACCGACTTATAAAATTAACTAAAAATATGTCTTTTATGTAGGTGAGTAATTAGAAATTAAACAAACTAAATGAAAAATAGTTCTTAACTTCTAGGATCGATCATTTCATCACTACTCTATGTGATTGTACAACTGTTGGGTCGTAACATTTGGTCTGAAGCTGGATCGCCTGTGATCTTTAAACATAAAAAAATGATTAATGTAGACAAAAAACGAGGACAAAACTTATGGATTCTGGTAGCTTCTTGGTGAATTTTGATTAAAAACTTTATTCAAGGATACTTTTAAGTGCTCTTTTTTCCTACAGATATAAAAAGGTCGGTTTACGAAGGTTTGGAGAAGGTGTAGGATTAAATGAAGGGAAAAGTAAAGGTATAGTTAATCCAGATATTTATTATGGTGTGACGGCATTATTAACTTGGAGTTAGATTTTTTACTTTGAAACCTTTTCTAGCAAAATTATTTTATCATCTTATATGATAAAATGAATGATTATGAAAATTGAATAGGTATGACCATTTTTATATGATAGCTTGTGTAAGTTTTTGAGATGAATTGAAACAATAGAATGTTCTAGTAATTTCAAGAAAAAAATGTTCACTTATCTACATATGTATCACACAATGGATTCATTTAAAAAATTGAGGCCAAAAAATTACTTTAAATGGCTACGCGTAGAAAAGTAATTTACACTTTAGAAATTGATAAGATACTCCTATCGTATTTTGATAATATGCTTTAAACAATTGCTTTGTTTAGTTAAACGAAATATGGTAGATGAAAATTGGAAAAATTTCAGTGATAAAAAAAAACTTCTAGAGATCACACTGCTGAAATATCAATAAAAAAATTATTTTTTATAGAGTTTTAAATTGACATATTCCACAAGCCTATTCGGAAATTTTTTTTTAAATCGATACTTTTTATGAAAAAATTTAAAAAATTCTTCGTATGGCAAAAATGTACAAAAACCGGGCAGTGAATAAAAATTTCATTGATTCAAAAAAATTTTCAGAAGAATAGTTTTAAGTATGTAATACCTTGAAATGAGATTATATTTTCTCACTTTAAAGAAAAATTTTATTTTACTAGTGATGAGTGGTCATAAAATTTTTACATCTGAGAATATTACCGTGTTTTGTTTAATGCGTTATTTTTAGTGCTTTTTTGTGCAGAGCGCAATGAGAATTTAAAAACCATTGTTTTTTTTTTTCAAACAGAAACACATTGACGTTTGGAAAAATTTGTAATACAGTATTTGTAGTGAAAAAAAGTCTGTGGAGTGGAGTTGGGAATTTATTTATCGTTACGCTACATGAATAATCTGATAGAATAAACTTTGTACCCACTTGATGAAAGTATGAGTGGTTCTTTATTTACATGTAAAAAGTTATTCTTATAAAAATTTTCATAGTCTATACTTATAAGGCAAGAAAAAATTGTTTTTATGGTTTAGACAATGCACATAATTTGGTGTCCGTATGTCAGCCTAAATTATCAAAATTTATCTGTTGGCATAGCTTAATAAGAAATTCTAAATTTTTTTCCTTGGAAAACGAAAAAATGTACTATTGTGACACATTTAAAAATTTACATATCCTGTCTTTACCAACTAACAACCGTCATATTTGATCACTTTAAAGCAAGTACATGACAATAACTTTATTCCTGTAAATTTTTATAATTTAAAAAGCCTAGATGGTGTGGATGTATTTCGATCAAAAACATTTTAAAAACTGGATGGGTGTAAGTGTGCATCACTAATAATTTACAGATAGTGATGATTTCTGACATAACATTTATACGTATCTAAAGTTACTCATTATCTTGATGTAACGATAAATAGATGTGAAAAGCGTCGTGACTAGTTTCTTTCGTTAAGGCTCTTGATTGTATCAAACCCTCCCCTGCCTTGACATACTTTAACTTTGATGCTTTTTTTATTTATTCAAGATTATAGGTCTTTTCTTCAGCGAAATTTTCCCTTCTCAGCTAGGAAAATATCATGTTAACACCGTTTTTTTTTTTTTTTTTGTGAATCAACTTCATACATTTAGTAATGTAGAGATCAATCAACTTCATGTATTTTATCGTATTAAATCAAGTATTAAAGTGCCATCTAATACAATTAGTCAAAGTCTCCCTTCACCTACTACTTATGTAGCTATGATAAAATAAAAACGAAATGGACAAAAATATATCAGGACAATATTAAATAATGCCTCGAGCCAGTAGTGTGTAATTAGATCATCTTCCAGATGTCACTCGCAGACAAGTTCCCCCAGCGAAGGTAATTCTCTGTATTCATTGGTGGACTTCTATACCAACGACTGAACTCAATACGCCCGATAGTCATTAAATTTTAATTATTAGCATAAATTTTACTTATCAAAAATGTATAAATAGGATGAACGACGCTTTGGTCTTCAGTATCATTTATATACCGTCGTTAGCATAGCATCATAGTATTCATTGATTGCCATACAACGAGTGAGAGATGAAATTCTTCGGCTTTTTGGTTACGCTGCTGTTACTGCTGCACGTCATTGGTATTTCTCACTTATTTTATTGTATAAATTGCAAGATTAGTATTAGTACTACGATAATTTCTTTGGAATTCACGATTCGAATTTTGTGTAATGCAACTTAGGATGATAAAATCGTCGATTTTAATACACCATTTTGCAGAAAACTACATAGCTATCAGATTTTTAAAAAATTACTGATTCATTTTGTTTGATTAGAATTAAAGAGCACTCCAAGACCACAAAAAAATGTGACGTTTCAATATTTTTTTGGATTAAGATAATTTCAGGGTTATTATGTTGGATAGTGTTTACAGAACTACAATTTTTTCTATCGAGCAAGTTATTAGAGAAATTTTATGCTCATATTATTAAAATATTAAAAGCTTTCTTTGATTTCTGTTGAATTTGAGGGGTTATTGTAGTACTATAAGGATTAAAAGTGGAAGAAGTAGAATGGTTGATTCCTTAATAATTTAAACCACTATTATTTATGAATACTGCATTATGTATATATGATTTATAATGTTTCGGTTGCAGATAGTTATGTCATTCAAGAGGAGCCCAGAACTTCTGAAATCTCGGAGCTAGTTTTAAAAAATATGCACGAAAGCATTAAAAAAGTAGCAGGTATGGTCTAAACAATAATAAAACTTCAGATGTTCTAGTAGCATACTTTTTCGTCAAAAGTTAAACTCTCAACAAAATGTAAAAACCCACTGCAAGACTTAAAAATATTTTATGAAATGGATTTTCGAAAGATTTTATTTTAAGTATTATTCATAAAAAATTTTTTTGTATGAAATATTGTAATATATCTTTAAAATTTATTATGCATACTTTACGTCAAGCCTTTAAAATGTGTTTTGGAACAAATGAGTGATTTATTAAAATTTATTCTTCCCAATTCACAAAATTTTACGTATAAATTTTACAAACTCATCACATCTTAAGTTTAAAATGAATGTTCAGATATGTGTGGAATCACTAGATACATAGATTAAAATTAATCCTTACAGATATCATTATTAATATATACACGAGTGCCTTAAAGACGTGTGCATTTTGGCAAACGGATTACGAATAAATTCATATAACTTTATTGGTCCATTTTATTAATTAGTGTAAAATACAAGATTTTTTAATATTCTACAGTTTCCAGGACAGTAATACTTTTTCCGCCCTCGGGTGGTTTTGGGAGGCTGGTACTTCCTTGGGCGAAAAAGCAGTTTTCCGGAACTCGTTCGAAAAGTCTCCTTTACGAACCTCGTTACGTCCCTCGCCTTCGGCTCGGGCCGCAAACC